ATGACAACGAAAAATATTTAAAATAAATGAAATGCATACTCACGTTTTCATTCAAAGCTTGAAAAAAACTTTTGTTTAATACTCTCATTTTCACTCTCAGCATTTAAGCTGCTAAAGCTTCGTAATAAATAAGTGTTACTTTACAACTACATACATATTATATATAAATTCAGAGTTTGGCGCAGTGCTGATTTAAACGTTGAAATGCCAACCGTTGCAAATGAAAGTGTGGTAATTCCACTTTAAATAGTAATAAATAAATGACAGTTACAATTTTAATTAATTTTTTTTTGAAAAAAAATGGCAAATCCAGGTAAGCGAAGCAAGCCAAAACGTCAAATGTATTAAAAATATAATCAGACCAGTCTAAAAAAGTAATGTTATGCAATATTTATGGAACTGTGAGTAATTTTACTACTTAAGAAAATATCTTAAAGGCTTGGATTATCATTGTTATTTTTGTTCTTTTGCAAAAATTTATTTATGTTATGCTTTGCAACGATTTTTTTTTTAAAGTAGTGCATATTTCTTACAAGATTATTTTGAAATGATTACCGAACTATTATTAATACCTATTTCTTGTATGAACCAAATCTGTCGCCATCTGTGAAAATAATTCTCAAATATTTTGTTTTTACCTTTACATATGCTGCAGAGCTAAATAGAAAAGGTACAATTTTCTATAAGAGTGAACAACTACTGGTGTCTGCCGATGATATTGACATTATCGGCCTCAACAACGGCGACGTTAGTTTCTCCAGGTTAGTGAACGAGGACGATACGTACTATCTCTTGTCATCAAACAAACTGTCATCGCATTCGGGACTTGGCTCCCACGTCACCGCTGACTATCATAACTTTGAGGTCGTAGATAATTTCGTCTATCTAGGAACGCAGAATCACTCTTACCAACAGGTGCTACTTTGGACTAAGTAGGCAATTCAAAAGTAAAGTTCTCTCCCGACGAACAAAAACCAAACTTACAAGTCGCTCATCATGCCTGACCTAGTATATTGCACAAAAGCGTGGATGATGTCATTAGCTGATGAGTGGACTTTGGGAGTCTTCGAGAGAAAAGTTTGGCGAACGATATATGGTCCTGTGCGTATTCGCAACGGTGAATACCACAGACGATGGAACGATGAGCTGTACGAGCTATATGATGATATTGACATAGTCCAGCGAATGAAAAGACAGGGGTTACGCTAGCTAGGTCACGTCGTCCGATTGGATGAAAACACTCCAGCGTTGAAAGTATTCGATGCAGTACCCGCTGGTGGAAACAGAGGGAGAGGAAGACCTCCACTCCGTTGGAATGATCAGTTTGAGAGTGACCTGGCCTCACTTGGTATTTCCAACTGGCTCCGAACAGCGCAAAAAATGGATAAATGTCACGTTGTAATTAATTCGGCTATAATCGCGTAAGCGGTGCCAACGCCAATTAAGAGGAAGAAAGACCTTTAGATATAATTGAATCAAAATATTTATTTATTGTTTCGATAACGAAAAATCTCATAATACGGATAAATGCTTTTCAACTAATTTTCTATTATGTGGCCCCCTATGGGCTCAAATGAAATTTCAATTTCGTTTTTTAAGTCACGAATCGTCAACAAGGAGGCTACAATACTTTTTTTATTTAATATCTGTATAGTATTTATAACCTAATAGCATAAAAGAAATTTCCATTTAAAATACATGATAAATTGAATAAATGAAAGTTAACAAAAAAAAAATAAAATATATCAACAAAAAAAATTGAAATAAATCAAATAAAAAAAATTAAATGAAAATTTTGACAACAACAAATGGCAGCACTCGCTCGCATGCATGCACAACAGTATGTATACAAAAATGTACGCTTATTAAATTACTCTTAGCCGTTGCCGTCTGACTGGTTAAAAAGAAGTAGCCAAAATTAAAGTGTATGTTGTTGGCAAACTGAAAAGTGGATAGTTCAATAACCATTTTTTCAAGCTGGATTTTTTGTTTGTTTTATAAATGGAGTAGTATTTATAAAAAATCTTTGTTTGAGCATTTATTTATTTAGTTTATTATTAATGTAATTGATTTTTTCCTCCAAAAATTTACACGGATAATTCACTAATAATAGTATATAAAGCATTATTTTCACAAACCGTTTGCAATGCTCTCAAAAAATATTTACGTCATAAGTTTCTCATTTTATATATACAGAAAAAAATCTGCTTATAGCAGAGTGCTAAGTAAATTGTTGACCTTCTTAGTAATAATACACAGTTTCTTTAGATTGCAAGCGCATAATAGATTTTAGACGTGGAAAGCAATAAAGCCCTTAATTGCAAAAAAACCAAAAACCCATTTATTTTCATAGGAAACCAGTAATACGTACACAACAAAAGCTCATGTGTTATACAAATAGATTTATAATTGCAGAGTACATATGTCCATACAATATATATGGATCAGTAGCGATTTGAGCATTATAAGGACGGGTAGTTTGTTTTATTTTCGTATTGAACATGGACTTATATTGTATATATTTTTTTATTTTTGAATTTCTTCCAAAAAGTTTTAACATATTAAAAAAAGTAACAAGGTAATAGACTGGTAGTGCAAAGCATGTGGGATTTAGGTCTGCTCTGAACCCAAGATCGATAGCGGGAAACAATGATTACCCCTGCCTCTTACTAAAAAAAAACTTACGGATTTGCTCATCAGCTGCCATCGTATTTTAAACTCTAAGTCTGACATTTAGTCAAAACATTTTTTATTGAATATTTTTCTTAAATAATTGGTCAGAAGTATGTAACTACTTGAAGGAGAAGGGATATATCCACAAAGGTCTATGGTAATATGATCATCTAATTATTCTAAAAATTTAGCATTCCAGAACTTGTAATTAAGAGTTCTTCTTACACAAAATAAATTATAAAATTGACGCAGATTTTTCTAATAGCTGTCATCCCTTGGCATTGAATGTCAACCTCTACGACTTTATTTTTTTCAATTTTCTTTTAAGAAATATAATAATTATATAATATAATCTAGTTTTGGTGTACTATTAAATTGTTGCTCATACGCCATGGAGCCTCTTAATAATAAAACTTCATATCTATTATTTGTTCAGCATAGAATGTATTCCGTGGCGAATTTTTTTTTTTTATTATTTTTATACACACCCTGGGATAGGCATATACAATACTTTAGCGTTTTAATTTATTTTTCAATGTTATTGCCTTTCAAAGTAAAAATTCCAACATATTCAATTTAGATCCCCAATATGAACGTTTTCGTGAAAGTATTTTAAGCATGAAATTTATTTGTTCGCTTTTATATTGTACATTTGTATTTTAATATAGTTGACACGTCTGACTCTGGAAGAAGTTAACGTATACATACATGCATTTATATAGACGCGTAGGCTACGAATGTATTACTCTCTTTTTGTTCCTCTAAGAAATACAATTTACAATATCAAGCCTTTAAACTATAGAAATGGCATATATCTGCTACATTCAATTAGTTTGAGCTTCCATCTGTTCTACGCAGGTGTGTGTGGTAGCGGCTCGCCAGTACCTAACGTACTCGTATCCCAGCAAATTTTTAATTAATTAAGGAAATTAGGTCTCACTAAAAATTCTAGGCTTTTAGCCTCAAATTTGTTGTGTCAAGTTTAAGAAATTTTATTTAAATACTTCACTAACAAGTTTTATGTACCATTTTTTTTATCAAATTAAATACAAATACCTTGAAAATTTATTATAATTTTTTTTTTTAATTTGGAGATAAAATGTCATGGTTCTTAAGGTTGTTCTTCAAACTTTAATTTGCTTTTCATAGTCCTTGATGAGACCATTTGTCTGACATTTTTAATGTTTAATATTATATTTTTCAAATTTTGATTTCCTCTACCCTTGGCTTCAAATACTACTTCGTTAATTCTGAAATAAGCAGACCTCAGGTATACAAATGGTATTAAAACAATCGCAGTTTTCGAAATCAGTTGTTTTTTGAGTAACACTGCTATATAATGAAGCGACACATAATACAGCAGTGGCAGCTGGCAGTGCTTCCCAACTTATCCCTAATTCCAAATTCACTGCCACTGCCTTTATTGCTGAAAACTTTATGAACCAGGCTGAAAGTTCAAGGAAAGCTATAACTGCGTTTTACGCCAGCAAAACCGCGATAGGAAAAAGATGGCTAAGATGGTCTCAGACCGGGTATAGTGCACTGGATTTCTACATCGGTTGTTAGACCAATCTTATTCTACGGCGTCACTGTTTGGTGGCTAGCATTCGATAAAATTACTTTCAGGAGCAAACTAGAGGGAGTTCAATGATCGGCGGCTATCCTGGTCCTGTCAACTCTTCTCAACATTCTTCCTACCTGCCGCATCAGCGCAATTCAACTCATATACATGCCGCTCTTCTTCGGATATATATCAATCGCTGAGCATCAATATATTGGTTTCCCAAAAAGTAATTGCGGATTTTTTAAAAGAAAGTAAATGCATTTTTAATTTAGAATAAACTTTAATCAAATATATAATTGCCATTTAGTTCGATAACCTTTTGCCATCTTTCTGGCAAATTTAGTATTCCACGCTCATAGAACTTCTGGCCTTTATCTGCAAANAATTTCGCGCACTTTTTTTCAAAAGCAAGCTAAAAGTAACAGCTGATAACTGACCGTCACAAGCCATTGAAAAAATTTGTCAACGCCGACTATATGAAAAATCCGCAATTACTTTTTGGGCAACCCAATACATCATTTTATCAGTCCAACCATTTTAATAACATTTTATATTTGTAAAAAATATAAATTTTTTTTGCTATTTTAAATTTTTTTCTATTTTAAATTGGGCATAAAATAATTTCTCTTCTAAAACATATTACCAGCTAAATAAATATTATTTATTTGTAGTTATAATTCTTACTATAATTTGTGTAATGAAAATATATTGTTTAGTTACTTTTTTTAATTATGACTAAAATTGTGTTGTCTTCTTTTTTCAGATCTCTTCAATAGAACAATCTGCACGTTAAAATGGAATTAAAATTATTTGGCTGCCATCGAACAGGAAGAAACCCTCTTATGCCAATATTTCCCTGCTGAAGAAAAAAATGTAAAAATAAACTAAGCGCAATAAGTTAACTGTAAAAAAACATATTTATAGTAATAACATTAGTTTATAAGCAATAATTTAAGAAATCTGCCCAGAGTAAACACCCAGTATAAATGAATAATAACAAAAACTGTATCAAATAATAACGTAATGTCGATTTTTAATTTCACTTCTTAATATTATATAAAAAAAACTGTATATATAAACAATATTACTGTATTAGGCTTTCCTTATGTGTAAATATAAATAAGTTATGTAATAAGTCGAGTCAATTGCAGCTAGTGCTCATATTTGTATTTAATTAAGTTTTATATTTGTGATAGACTAATAAATCAATATTTAAATAAATAAATTCATACGTCTGAAAAACTACAAAGAAAATTCGCAAAATGTGTGCATAATATAGGTAAGTGATCGACCATGTCAGTAAGTATTATGCTAAATAAAACTGAAAATTCTTCATGTCATCTGCTATAAAATATTGGCGATATTGCACACCCTGCAGGCCCAAATTATTATAAAACAATGCACTATGTGAAATGCTTAGGTATTTATTCGTATTCATTTATTAATATTTAGAATTTTTTGATAATTATTTATGCATCATCTTAAGATTTATAACCTAATCAGCACACAACTTCAATTCAAGTCTAAGTTCAAGTATTTTCATGGTAATCTTACCTTCGAAAATTCAATTAAAAAAAATAAAATCATAACATATTTTTTTGCGTCCTAACATTCAAACTGCATATTTATTATTCAAATTGACAACACAGTTCAACAAAGCATTCGCGAAATCGTGGCAATTTTTTATATTGTATGTGCCAGTTCCATTCTTAACGCAAATTGAAAGTGACACCAACATTCCGACGGCAGTTCAGCGAAGAAGTAGTTAGTCCATTATTCAGCGTTTCAGTTTAGTGAAGAAGTAGTTAGTCTATTATATATATTGTAAGGATTACTAAAGTTCTTCTATTCTTTCTTGCTATGAATAGATGAATATTTATGAAAAAAGTGATCAAAATGTGTACTGATATATCTTTTTTATTGCATAAAACGTAATGAAGGAGACAAGATTCACTTTAATTTAAAAACTGGCAGCAATTAAATAAAACAATCCTGCTCCAAATTATTTTTTGGCGGAGCTTGAAAGTTTGCCAATCGCTGTTGTTGGCTTAGAAAAACACAACTAAATTAAAATTAAAAAAATATGACCCTGAGCCGGACAAACGCCGGCTTTCAAGAAAATAATCTATTTTCCCAGAAATTTTCAACTCTCTAACTTATGTAGACCCCGAGAAAATGGAAAAATGTCCTTTTATAAAAAAAACAGTGTAAATTTAAAACAATTATAATTTTGTTAAATTTACATTAATTGGGTTTTTTTTTTTTAATTTGCTATCATTTTGCTAATATTTTCTTCGGAATTTGACAGTAGAAATTCAATGAATGCATACAATTTGATATAAACCAGAATTTCAGCCAGGTAGAAGCCACCTATTCCTTCTTTATTAGGGAAGGCATACGCATTGGAAACACTGAGGATATCTACATATCTATATAATGATTGATCTCTGTTGTATAAAACAATCGATCACACTATCCACTATCAAGAAAAAGCTGTTACTTGCATTAAGCAAACGAGAATTTAGCAATCTTATCTTATCTATCTCTGAGGTATAATATCCATAATATATGCACAGTTGTTGATTCCTGTGTACATAATTTGGTTTTTAAATATTATCTCTCTAAAATGTTGGCCACGGCTATGTTTGAATTGGACCATCCGTTGAGTCGAATTTTCGGAGACTTGTTCTAGTGTTTCGAATGGTAACTGGTGAATGATATTCGTGATGTTTAGCTCCAAGGACTGAATTGAAGCTGAATAATCCGCATATATTATATATATACAAGATATAGTCGAACGGTTCTTATTGAATCCAAATATTGCCGAGATCACGAGCTTCAGCTTCAGCATTTAAACAGTCGATCGCTAATGACGGTCACGTTCTCACCGGCATAATTTTTGGAAAAAATGTGGACTGATGTTTCCACCATCCCACAAACCACATCAAACCATTGTTTTTCTGGATGAAATGGCAGCTCTTGAATCTGTTCAGGCTGCTTTTGGTCCCAAATGTGACATTTTGCTTGTTTGACACTTGGGCTGGTCGATCGGCTTCAGTTTTTTATTTATATACTCGACCAAAAATGCGCCAAGTCGTTCCATTGGTCAGTATAAGTTTTGCGAATCGCGGCGAATCGACTCTTCACGTGGTCTTCGTGTACACTCTCAGCTACGGCCGCTATATTCTCTTCACTGCATACTGGACGTATTTTATTCGGTCGAATATTCTCCATTAATGAATGCTTGATCTTAAAATGATTGATTATATTGCGAAAAGTACGTTCAGTAGGTCGATTATGTTGATCATAAGTTGAGCGAAACTCGCGAAACACATTCTTTACAGAACGTTTCGTTTTCGTAATAAAGTTGAACGATTTGTAAACGCTGTACAGGCGTAAGACTTTCCATGGTGAAATGCTAAACAATACTGAACAAAAATGACATGACAGCTTGCTATAACTCATTGCAGTATTTTTTAAAAGAGTATGGCTAGTGTTTTGGAAATTTATACTAAATTATTCTTGTTTCCGACAGAAACTATAATTTTTATGCCCTTGTAAAATAATGTCTACTTTAAATTCTTTATGCAAACTAGCATGTGCAGATGTAATTGAAAGCCAAACAGCGACTGCAGCAGCTGTAGCGTTAACGTTACAAAGCAACAGATCAACAAAAAACAACACTCATACGGGCCGTGAGACAGACTCAAGTAGCTGTGTTTAGTTTCCATCGTAGCAGGGTTTTAAATTTCAAAGCATTCGCTAACAGCGTCATGGCAATTAGTTGCATACGTGTACTTGCTACGTAGGTATGTTTATACCTTCTTCTAAATCTTTTTTGCTTACAACCATTTGAGCCGGAAAATCAAGGTGAGAGAGTTAACATTCATATATGTATATACTTGGGTATGTGTGCATAGTTTAAACTTTTTGCTACACTTCATTTCTTTGTTTTCTCTTTATCTGCCTTTTTATGCGAACTTGCCAACATAGGACTTTATTTTAATAAATCGTAAGCATGCTTTTATTTCACTCTACTTGCGTACGAGATGTGCTCCGTAGATCTAAGTATAAAAAATTCTTACGTCAATTAAGTCTATTAATGGGATAGCCATTGGCTAGTGTTATGGGCATCCCAAGTTCGAATCTAATTTGAACAAAAGTGTCTGGAAAATGAAGTCTGATGAGAGCCGTGGTGGTTTCCGAAATAGCAGCTATAACTTCTACCGTCAAAAGCTGTTGTTTTAATTTCTTCATTATTTCCAAAAATACCTGGTCTGAAACAATTCCAAAAAACTGAAAAACCCATAAAATAGTTTTATTTACTTAACATAATGTGAATTATACGAATACTCACAGCCTTGCATAACAATCGATAGAAGTTAACATCATTATATCTCTCTCGTACGAAGACTGGACCCTATTGGCAAAAAACTGTGACAATTGATTTTCACAGGGATCTCGTTTCCCGTTAAATCGCTCGATATATAGGTAGTTATCCCTTGGTAAAGCTCGCCAAAACAGCTGGTGCCGTGTCGCAGTGGACAGAAAACAGACTGTCTGCCTCGCAACCTTGCGATCGACCACAACACGTGCGAGATGGGTTAGATACCGAGAAATGAAGAGGGAAGCAAGACAAAAAAAAGAAAGAATGAAGAGTGATTATGAAGAAATTGAGAAGCTGGCCGATAAGGGTAATATTCGATAATTCTATGAGAAGATACGACCACTTACAGAAGGACACAAAGTGGTGATCTAGTCATCTATTCTTAGAGTATAAAGAAATTATGGAGGAAGCACTTCTCCACCTTTCTGAATAGTAATGAAAATGAACAATCCAGATATGATGAACCTGAAATCCCATTCGATTACGATGGAAAAGACGTTCCACCTTCCGACTATGATGATGTTCTCTTAAAGCAAAACAAAGCGGCCGGAACTGGCGGCATACCTGTAGAAATATTTAAACATGGCGGTGAATAGCTGACTAGGTACAGGAATCAACTACTTCGCAAAATATGGTTGGAGAAAGCATGCTCGACTATTGGAATTAAATTGTACTCTGTCCAATCCATTAAAAAGGAGACTCCATAGTCTGCGCCAATTATTGTGGGATGTAAGGTCCTGTAAGGCGTATTGTGTGAAAGAATACCACCAGCAAACTGATTGGACCTTATCAGTGCAGCTTCAGACCTGATAAGTCAACCATTGACCAGATGTTTACCATGCGACAAATCTTGGGAAAGACCCGTGAAAAGAGGATCGACTCGATAAAGAAGCGAAGGATTGGGGTTTGGTAGTAAGTAAGGCAAGACGAAAAATATCCTGTCATCACACAAACAGTCATCACATTCGCGGCTTGTCACTGTTGACAGTCATAACTTTAAAGTCGTAATAATTTTGTCTATCTAGGAACCAGCATTAACACCAATAATAATGACAAATCCTACGCAGAATCACTCTTGCAAACAGGTGCTACTTTGGAACGAGAAGGCAATTGAAAAGTAAAATCCTCTCCCGACGAACAAAAACCAAACTCTACAAGTCCCTAACCGTTCCCGTCCTGCTATATGGTACGGAAGTATGGACGATGACAACATCTGATGAGCTGGTGTTAGGAGTTTTCGAGAGAAAAATTTTGCGTAAGATTTATCGTCCTTTGCGCATTGGCAACGGCGAATATCGCAGAAGATGGAACGATGAGCAGTACGAGTTATACGGCGACATTGTAATAGTTCACCGAATCAAGAAGCAGCGGCTACGTTGGCTAGGTCATGTGGTCCAGATGAATGTGAATACTCCAGCTTTGAATGTTTACGATGCAGTACCCGCCGGTGGAAGCAGAGGAAGGGGAAGACCTCCACTCCGTTGGAAAGACCAGGTAGAGAAGGACCTGGCTGTACTTGGTATTTCGAATTGGAGCCAAACAGAAAAAAGAAGAAACGAATGGCGCAATGTTGTTAAATCGGCCAAAATCGCATAAGCGGTGTCTGCGAAAGTAAAGCAAGTAAGTAAGTAATTAAAACTGAAGTTGCAGCTAATTTCCATATCGAATCTCATCTGCCCAGCGATGACCAAT